TGTGCCTGGCAAGTTCCCGCCAGTGACTTCCTGTCTGGGCTCAGGTCCTTTGGTCCTGCACACAGATCTGTGCCCAGCCTTCGTGTGGCCCCTTGGCCTGGCCCTTTCCCCGGGAGGCAGGTCTGTCCCATCTTCTCTGGGTCCACGTGGCCTGGGATGGGCTGGCTGCCTTAGGCCCATGTACACTGTGCTGTTTCTTCAGGAAACCTGAGGACTGAGCGAGTCTGAGTGGGGGCTGGGGTCCGCTCGGCTCCAGTGGGGCTGTGCAGGGCGGCCTGAGGCGGTATTTAAAGGTGCCGTTGGACCTGGTGAGGAGGCCTGGGCATCTGGGCACAGCTCCCAGTTTGGGACTTGCCCCATCCAGGGCCTCCCAGAGGTTGGGGCCACCTCCCTTGCCCCTCGTCCACTCGCGCCTGAGTCTGCTCTTGGTCAGGAGTGAACCACTCCCTGGGCCTTCACCAGACGTGGCCCAGGCAGGCTGCCTGTCCTCACCCCCGGGTCTGGGGTGCAGAGTGCAGCATCCACTGTGGGGCCTCAGGAGGGGCTTGTGTTTGTCAGCTCCTGTGACCAGGGTGGGCTGGGTGCTTGTGCTCATGTGTGCACCTTTGGGAGCTGATCTGCCTGTCCTCACATGCACACCCATGCCCCTGGCTGCCAGGCTGTGTAGCCGACGGCGCCTGGGCTGGGCCCGTCTCACCCTGCAGCCTAAGAAGCAGACCCAGTGGGCGGGGGCACCCTGTGTACAGTGTTGGGGGCTATGTGGACCTGCCGTGGGAAGTGGCCCTGGGACGCTCACGGGGGAAGGAGTGTGGGTGTGCAGGGTCGGCCTTCCAAGCCCTTGGAGGGCGGGGGAGCCCTGGCAGACTGGGTGAGCAGACCCTGCAGGCCAAGCAGGGCACACACCACACTCCTCCCTGGCTTCCCAGGGAAAGCCTCCCTCGGTCTTGCCCAGACCCTGGCGTCCCCTCCTCCTGGGCATCCGGGCACGGCAGGGCACCTGCCGGCCTCACCGGCCTCGGGCTGGGACTTGCCAGCTGCCCCCCAACCCCAGGCCCCAGACACGTGGACAGCTTTTCTTTTTATACCTACTTTTGTGGTATGCGTGTCTGTCTCCCCATTACCACTGCTATTCATTGAAAATGTTATCTCCCCCCACCCGTTCTTCGTGCCCCCCGGGGGGGTGGGGGGCCCAGCCCTCACCCTGGTGTAGTCAAGGTTATGGTGATAAATCCTGGGGCATTGTCACTTCTATTCGGAGTAAATTGGCTGGCCGCTTTCGGGCTGAAGGAAAGATAATTTGCTGTAGTATTTCAAATGGATTAGAAATGGATTTGAAGGGAAAGTTCATGCCTCCCATTACAAAGGCGAGAAAGAGGACTATCTTAAGGCACGGTTCCCTCCCTGGCCTTCATTATCCACGCTTAATACCTTTCCTATTTTCCAGCGTTAATGAAATTTCCTGGCGGCGTGGGCCTGCCGGACGGATGGGAGAAGCCTTTAGATCTGAGCCTCCTGTTGTAGAAAAGGAATTACAGGGCCCTCGCCGCGAGGGCAGGAGCGTTCTCCGGGTCCTTGGCCCGGCTATTATCTCATTAATTTTATCCCCTCTTCTCAATACAGTTGGTTTCCAGAGCCTGTCCTCTCCATTAGGGAACAATTGACCGGAGCTCTGTGACACCCACGGCAATGAAAAGCTACAAGGCGGCCCCTTGCCAGCCCGGCGCCCGCCCGGCCCAGGTCCCGAGTCAGCGAGCGGGCCCAGCAGGGGTGAGGGAAGGGCGGAGGAGGCCTGTGCCGCTGCGGGCTGGGCAGGTGGGCCCTTCTGCAGCCCTGGCCCGCCCTGCCCAAGTTCTGTGGGTACATCCACCTCCTCCAGATAGCCCCGTGGCACCACCGGGGTCCACAGCCCCACACCCTCGGGCACGCGGGGTCCCTCAGGCAGGTGCGTGTGCATGGGCCGCAAACGCTGGGCCAGGCGTGAGAGGAGCTGCTAGGCCTCCGAACTGCCCCCATCCCCTCCCCGGTGGCCGACCATTGTCCTGTAATTGCCTTAAAACCCAGGGGTATGGTTTTTGGTGGGAGAAGAGGACAGATCTGTTAGTCCTGTTCATCCACAAAAGTAACTGTGGGAATAATCAACAAGGTGCAGGGAAAGAGATGTCACCTGAGATGCGCCTCTTAGCCAAAAAAATAAATCATGAAAGGGACTTCTCTGAAGGAGGGCGTTGGGTATGTCTGGCCCTAGTGCCTAGCCTGGGAGCCAGGAGGGCGTCCCTGGGGCTCGCTCTTCAGGGTGAGCTGGTAACAGCCCCAGACTGAGGCTCCTCGGTGCACGGAGCTGTGGGATGGGCCTGGATGGGACCACCCTCGGGGCTGGAACATAATCTGTCCTGAAGCTTCTAGCTCCTTCTGAACCAAGATCCTGCTGTCCTCCACCTCCGCAGGTCCCTGTCTGGGCCTGGCCACCTCTTTCTGCAGCTTCACCTGTGTGGCTGCCCCTGGGAGTGGTGGTCTGTCCCTGTCTGGCCTCAGCCAGGGGCACATGCCCACAAGTAAGCTTCCTCACCCCTCGAAGGGCTGGGTTTCTGGGGATGTGGGGTCCTGAGATGCTGGGCCCAGGTGGGTAGGTGGGGCGCAGGTCTGGTTGCCCACCTGTCCTTGTGCTTTGTGGTGTCCTGGGTGTGGATGGAGGGTGGGTAGGGGTGGTGGCCCAGGAGGGGAGGGTCCGTGCCCCAAGGGAAGAGGCAGCTAAGAGTGGTGTCCTTGGTCCTGTAAGCGGCTGCTGCATCATCTCGCTGCAGGGCCTGTTGGGAGGTCTGGGGTCTGGTCCTGAGGGACGAGTGTCTTATAGGCATGGGCCGGGCTTGCTGCCGGTCACTCAACTTCCCAGGGCTGCAGGAGTGGAGGCTGCCCAGGGCTGGCCCTGGCCCAAGTGGGCATATGAAGGGGCAGCTGCCTTGTCGGTGGGGAGACCGCTGAGGGCTCTGGACACCATGGGGCTGGGGCTGTAGGGGGCCTGTTGCCCTCTGGCTGAGCGAGCTGTGGTGGCCCCCAGCCCTAGGCTCAGCTCTCAGCTGTGGGGATTAGGACTCAGGCCAAGCTGTGCCCTGTGCACAGTGACCACAGTCCCCGCAGGGGGCTCACAGGGTTCTGCAGCAGGACCGGCACAGAAGAGGACCCCGCCTGGCCCCACCCTCCTCATACTTTGGCCTGGCCTCTGAGTGAGCCAAGGGGACAAGGCAGGTGCTCACCGGACACATAGATGCCCTGGGACCAGGGTCTGGGGAAAATCTGGAAGTCTGTCTGCACCCCCAGAGGATCGCTGCCCACCCCACCCTCTTCCTGCCAAGATGCGCCCTGTGTGGGGACAGCTGGAGTCTGTAGGGCGCAGAGAGCATGAGCCAGGCCGGCTGGGGCCCCTTGGCAGGACTTTTCCCCAAGATTGGTGTTTGTGAACTTGAATTTTAATTAAGGGAAACTGGGTTAAGTGCTGTTGGGCTGTGGCGTCGTCCTCGGCACTCCCCGCCTGGCCTTTGTCCTTACACCGCAGCTTTGGGTCCCCTGAGCACCCGGCTCACTCACGCACGGTCTCTAGCGTGCCCTCAGAGGCTTGCGCTGGCAAGAGTCACCCCCACTTGCAGAGAGACGAAGGCCGAGGCGGCCTCGGGGCCAAGTGGTTGGGGCGGCAACCGCACACCAGAGCGGGGCTGCTCGAGCCCTAGCACTCAGCTCCGGGCGCGTCCATTGTGGGTGGCCCCCCACCGCCAGCAGCCTATGTGCCAGGATGCCCCGAGGCCTGCCCTGTCCCTGGGGGCCCAGGCCAGAGTCTGCTGCTGCCCCAGACGGAGATGGGGGTCTGTGTGCTCCCTGGGGGAGGGGGCTGCAGGGCCGTGGGGAGAACCCCGCTTCAGCCAGGTCCCCGCGGCCGGTGGCGGTCCCTGCAGTAAGGACTGCTGTCCTCACGCCCTGCCCCTCCTGCTGCTTGGAGGCACTAGCACTCAGGCCCAGATTTGCCGGTGGGGTATGGTGTGCACACTCGGTGGTAATAGCATTACGGCCAGAGTCTGAGCTAACGCGGAATTAAGGTCAATTTGCATAAACAAATTACTGCTGAAATGCGTCCTGAGGGGGAAAGGCCCCATGCCCTTCTGGAGTCATGAAGCTGGCTAGTCTCCATGCCAGCCGCCCTGAGTGGGAGGGCCTCGTCCCCTCATTTCGGTGGCAGCCTGCCCATGTGACAGCTGGGGGGAGCGGGTCAGCCAGGACAGCTGCAGGCCCCCAGTTGGTGCTGGTCTGGGGGCCCACAGCCACTGCCCATTGCAGCCGTGGTGTCTTCAGGGGACGTCTCTCGAAGTGGGGGCATGTGGGGCCTCCTCCTGACCCACTCTGGTCTGGCCAGGATAGGGCCCAGGAGCTGGTCGGAGGAGAATCTGGAGGGAGGGAGTGGGCAAGTGGCCACTGGGGCCGTCCAGGCCCAGGTCTGCCTTCCCGGCCTGGATCATCCACTCAGCTAACCCCAAAAGCTGTCCCAGGCCTCTTCCAGCCCAGGACTTTAAGGCACCTCCAGTCTTTCCCCCAGACAGCTTGCCCGGTTGGGGGTCTGTGAGGCCGTCCCCTCCTACTCTCCATGCTGGTCTCCTGTGTGGTGAACAGAGGGGACAGGAGTAGAGCCTGCTGACCCAAAGGCCTGGGTGGCATGCGCTGGGGCAGCATCTGGGGGAAGATGTTCCCGGGCAGTGGCGATGACCACCAGCCACGGTGTGGACCCTCAGGGGACTTGCCCGTGCACTGGAGCTCCCTCCAGACGCCCTGCCAGAGGGCCGGGGCCTGGACAGTCTCATCCCAGGGGTGTACGTGCTGGAAGGGGGAGGCTTGTCCCCCACCCGTGCCCTTTCAGCCCGGCTAGTGGGGTTGAGGGTCCCCTTTGCCTGCAGGGGTGTGAGGAGGACAGACTGTGGGCCCGTGGGGCTGGACGCACCGGAGTTTCCCTGTCTCCGCAGGTCTCTGGTGCTGAACCGCCTGCGCCCCGCTGCCGGGGGTGGGAAGGCCCAGCCCAGCTCTTCTCGGTGGCGGAATAAAGGCTACCGCTGCATCGGGGGCGTCCTGTACAAGGTGTCAGCCAACAAGCTCTCTAAGACCTACGGCCGGCCCGGCGACAGCGGCAGCAGGCCCCTCCTGCGCACAGGTGAGGGTGGGCCCCTAACTCCCCAGCCTGTGTTGTCAGTGGTGGGCGGGGGCGGAGGCTAGCCGGTGACGGAGGCAGGCGGGCCTGGGGCTCCCATGGAGCAGATGCAAGTGAGTGCTTCCCAAAGGGGCCCATGCCAGGAGGGGAGTCTGTGTTCCTGTTTAGAGCTTACGGAGCCTCCGTGGCTGTCCCCGTCGAAGCTGACGGGCAGCTGGAGCAGGCAGGGCACGGAGGGGGAGGCCTTGCAGCCTCTGCGTCCCCGGGGAAGGCCCCCCCACCCCTGAGCGCACTGCCTCTCGCTTGGCTGAGCAGGCCCTGATTTTCCGTGTTTTGCTCCTGGACAAAGGAGATGAGCCAGGTATGGTAAACACGGCCCTGGCAAGTGAACACCTGGGGCCGCGGCACCCCCTAATCTCATTGGCAATGCCTCCCAACTGTGTCTGGAGGCAGCCGCCGCCACCTCGCGCGCCCCCGCGGCCTGGGGAAACAGGCCGAGGAGAAGGAAATGCTTTGGATTTGCTTATTATACAAATTAACTAGAAAATATTTTGGTTTCAGTCCAATTTTACCCCCATCCTTTTCTGTTAGGAAAAAAAGGGTGAGGTTGCAGGCAGTATGGGGACTGCAGAGGCCCAGCTGCTCCCAGACCCTGCCCCGCCCACCCAAAGGGGCAGGAGGGAGAAGAGGCGGGGCGCTGGGGCCATCTGTAGGTTGGGGGGCCCCTTCCTGGAAGCCCTTGCCCAGCTGTGTCCCCAGGGCCTCTGTCTGTGGAACTGTGGGGAGGGAGGCATGGGTGCCTGGCTGCCTTTTTCCAGACGGGGTATACGGGGCTCCCTAGGAGAGGCACTAGGGGGCCCGAAGGCCATGGCTGTGCTCTGCCTCTGTGCCTCATTTTCCCCATCCCTTTCTCGAGGGATTAGGCTGTGTGATCCAAGGGCCTTTCTGCCTTGGCCTCAGCTAGCTTGCCAGTGGAGGAGCAGGTCCAGAGCATTGGCTGGGCCTCCTCACGGGGCCTGCGTGAGGCTCAGCCCTCCCCCCACTCTGAGCCTCTGACCCCCAGGGCTCAGCAGGCCCCTGGCATCGGTGTTCATGGTCCGTGAGGCCCCACACGTAGTTACACAAAACTACGCCTGTTGGTCCTTCGCCGAGCAGTCCCTAGGCAGGCTGGTTGTGGAGTGGGTGGAGCCATGGAGGGCTTCTGGGCAGCCTCTCTGCAAAGTGATGTTCTGCCGGCCCCGACAGATGAGGCTTCTCTCTGGGTCACACCCACTGGCCCCAGCCTCCCGCTGGGCCTCCTTAGTGAAAGGCCCTGGCTGGCCTTTCTGATCTATCATCCTTTCTGCCCCCGACTGTCACCCCTGACCCCACAGCCGACCCAGCAGGCAGGACCCAGGCTCTGTTCCCTGCTGTCCTCCTTTGGGAGCTGGATGAAGCTTACTGGGGGGGCGCCCATTCTGCTGACATTTCCTCAGCCAAGCATGTCGCCGGGCCACGCCCCCTCGAGCACCCTGCCGTCCTGTCCGCCCCAGCCTGCTGTGTGCTGCTTATTTGCATCAGGTCTGAGGGACTCCTCCCTGGCCTGGCCAGATGTCATTGGCCGTCCTGGCACTCACACTGTCCACATGCAGGGACCCGGAAGTGGATTATGGTTTGGGGCCACCCTGGCCCTTGCCAGGACCCTGCTGCTCATATGTCCTGGGCTGCACGGGGGCCCCTCCACATGGACCCTGATCTCCGGTGGGCTGGATGGACCTTTGGGGTATACCTACCACCTGGCCCTTTAAGTCCATGGTGGGAGGAGAGGCACCCCGAGACAGAGAGGAAGAGGCGGGTGCGAGCTGCTTGGCAGCTGCTCGAGGGGAGGGTACGAGAGAGGAGAGCCCGAGCTCCTGGGAGAGCCCAGGCTGCGCTGCCGCCTTGGGGCAGTAAAGCCGGCCGAGAAAGGGGCCAGCGTTAGGGGCTGTGGGGCGCTCCGTCCCCTCTCCGCGGCACAGGCCTCACCGCACCTGAGCAGGCAGCTGTCCCACGTCTCACTGGGGAGGACACCTTGCCAAGCCCGCTCCCCTGCAGGTGCTGACCTCCACGCAGTGGCGCCTTCCCCCTTCTATCAAGTGCGGTGCTGTGCACGCTGCCCCCCCGCCCCCCCGCCGCCTCCAGCCCCACCTCCCCCAGCCTCCTGGCCTCGGGCAGTACAGGGAGGACAGAGGCCTCCAGGGCCAGGCGGGTTCCCAGGAGGCCCCACTCCTCGTCGCTGCTGGGGGGCAGTCCTGGGGCTCAGCCCTCCCAACTTCAGGGCAGGCTGGGGCAGGTAGGTGGGATTGGGAACACGGACCGTTGGGTGGCCTGTCCCAGGTATGAGGCCGAGCCAGAGACCACCCCCCACCTCCAGATCCAGCTTCCCAGACCCGCATAAGGGTGCCCTACTCCTTGCTATGAGGAAGGTGGGGTGTTCCCAGCTGCGGGAGTGCCCACTGACCAGCAGCCTCCTTAGATGAATAATTTTTAAAGGAATAAATTTTCTCCTTTGGTGTCAGCAGAACTTTGACTTCAGCAGGAAAGTACAGCCAGACCCTCTTCGGGGGGGGGGGGCTCACCTCCTCTCCTCCTGGCTTTTCCTCCTGGCTGCTGGGCTTCTCTGCGACAGTGTCAGCCCCTGTGTTGGGGTATCCAAGCCATGGGTAGGTGGGTGGCAGGGAGAGAAGTGCAGAGCCTCATCCCCACCCTCCTCCCGGCCCTGCCACCTCTCCCTGTGTGCACCCAGGTATGGGCCGTGACACATGTTCCATGGGACCAGGCGTCTGTTGCGGTCCCTACCGTGGAGCAGAAGCCCCAAGTCCATCTGCCAGAACCACCTCCCCCAGCCCGGGCTACAGGCCTGGCCCCCAGGCCCCGGAGTGGGGCGGATTTGTGGTCCCTGCTACTCATTGGCCATGGCACACCCCTCGGCAGGTCATGGGTCCCTGTGCCTCGTCTCCTCGTCTGTGACCTGCTGACCCCACCCTGTGTGCTGGGAAGTCACACGGAACAGCATGAGAGGACGCGAGAGAGGGCCCCCGAACCGCGCACTCAAGGCCCCACCCTGCTGCCTTCCTCCCTTCCTGAAGCCTCTTCCTGGGGCTCCCTCTGCCCAGGGCCATGATTTCCTGGGCGGGGTGAGTCCCGCTGGGGCGCCGTGGGGCTGCAGACCTGCCCCGCTGCTCCTTCTGACCCCAGAGCCCCTGATTCGGGCTCCCCGGCCTGGGGAGGGTGAGGCACTCCCTGGCGGGGACTGGTGGGGCAGGGCGGGGCCGCCCGAGCCAAGCTCACGGTGTCTATTTTGGGAAGATCCCCGGGCAGCGCAAGCTCTCTGAAGGCTTGGCGCCTCCTGCTCGGTGGCTGCCGAGGGTTTTCAGCTGAACCCTGTAGCACCCCTCAGCACCTCGCGGCCTCTTTTCCAGCCAGCTACTTTATGTGCATTTTTTAACACCGCACAGCCGCTGAACGCTGCCTCCCACTGCGAGCCCCACACTGGCATTTTTTAAGAGCAAACGGTGGGGGGGCGGCGAGGGGAGTGAACCCGCCCTGCCCCCTCAGAGGCCAGGCCTGGGGCCCAAGTCTGACAGGCAGACACATGTTGACAGCGGGCCCTGGTGGGAGCAGATGCGCCCCAGCGGCGCCAGAAGCCGTGCTCGCGGGCCGCGATCCCGTGACACTCTGTCAACCCCGGGCTGGCAGGCATGCGGCACCACGTGCCACCTGGACCGGCCTCTGACGTGGACCCCCGGTCAGTGTCCCCAGCGTGGGAGCCAGGACACCGCTGCCCTGCCCAGCTCCTGCCTGGCCCACCCCCCACCCCTGCACCAAAACCAGCCCCGTTCGTGTCTCGGTCGCCTGGGCCATGGCCACCGGGCGGGGCACCTCCTTCCCATTGGGGGTCTCGCTGCTCAGCCCTGGAGCCACCCCTTCTCAGCTTGAGGACACTGAGGCTCAGGGGCAGACGCTGGCCCGAGGGCGGGAGCCCGGAGAGGGACTCTGCAGGAGGCTAGATGTGGAGAAGAGTGCCTGAAGGTCAGCCTGGGAGGCACGGGGGAGCTTGGGCGTGGACAGGCTGCATAAAGTGTCAGAATGCTTGTGTGACCAGGTCTGGAACTCAGGAGAGGGGACCCAGCTGCCTGGGTCCTGGCAAAGGTCGTCCTGGGGAGGTCGAGGGAGGGGCCTCCAGGTGGCAGGAGGGCCACCTGCCCGGGCCTCCCATGCAGCTCCGATGGGGGCGGCTCAGGGCCAGGCAGCTTGGGGACATCCCTTTTTAAGCCTGGGATGCTTTGTCATTGCCTCAGGTCCCTAGAATTTCTGAGTGATGTCACTTCTGCCTCTTACCAGCAGATCCATTTCAGCAGCTGCCTGTGGGAAATTGAATCTGGTCTGAGAAGGTTCATGTGTGTGTATGTGTGTGTGAGAGAGAGAGAGAGAGAGAGAGAGAGAGGAACCGTGGGCCTCCATGGCCGTCTGAGTAGCCTCTGGCCCCGACCTGCCCACCCTGGCTCTGGGGGGCGGTGACCTCGTGCCTAAAAGGGAGGCAGGAGGGTGTACGTTCGTCTGGACTCCCTCCCCTTTCTCACGCAGGACAAGCATTGCCCACTTGCCCCTTGTCCCCTGCTGCCCTAGCCCCCCCCAACACCAACTGCCCTGGCTGTGGGCATCCTGTCACCTGTTCCCTTCTTGTGACCACTGTCCATTTCATGAACAGCTCCCCTTTGGGCCACAGTCAGTGACCTCAGAGAGGAATTGATTGGTCTTTGTGCTTAGGGTTTTGAGGAATGGGTGCCTGCCATGGCCAATGAGGGCCTCAGAGCCAGATGTGCTCGTCCGGGGCCTGTGGAGGCTAAGGTCGGCACGTAGGTCCCTGTAGAGCCTGGGGGCAAGGACCTCAGGCTTTGCAGCCATGTACTCGCTATGATGTTTTTGTCGAATAACCCTGTCAATACAGAAGAGTCATTACTGGCTACGACGAAGCCAGGGGGCATTCCTGGACCCCACTCAGGTCCCACATCCCTGGGCCCTGCTCCCGGCAGAGGGAGGTGGCAGGGAGGCCCCCCTCCCACCTGCCGGTCCCGGGACCACCTGCGTTGAGGCGAGGCTGCCAGCCAACTGCCAGATCTGGTCCCTGGACGGGCCGCTGCCCTGCACCAGGTGGGGGTTTGGCAGGGTCCCAGCAGGGTATGCAGCCCAGCCCGAAGGGAGGGCAGGGGGTTTCCCTTAGGGGGCAGCAGTGCCTGCACTGAGAGCGGGAACCCTGACAGGGCTGCGCAGAGCAGCTTGCTGGGCAGTAGGAGTGCCTGGGGGCCTGGGGGCCTGGGGGCTTGTGGGCCTGGGGGCCTG